CGAATCGACGGAACCGATGAGGCAGCACAGGAGTGCCCGTTGCAGAGCACTGTGTCATAATCACATCAAATCTCTGGTGGAGTAGGTTTCTGCGGTGCTCACCGGTATGCTTGAACTCCTACGTTTGCGGCTGAAGGTGGAGTTCAAAATTGCAGTACTTACCAGCATAGCCTCAAGATATTAAATGTTAGACTTATAAAAACACAGAAACTTCACACTATTCCCGAGTCCATGAACACGATGGGGAACAAAAGGCGACGCTGTCCGTACGTTTTGCAGCTCATGGATTACGAAGGGGAAGGAAGGCAACCGGTGTGTACTGCTGAGACTCACTTAAACTTACTTTGCTCCTGCACTACTTTCCGCTAACGACTTGGTAATCCAGCGCGAACAGCCTGGAACCGAATGTTTGTCAGCGCCATGACAAATAACGGCCAGATAGCGTGTTCGATTTTGAGAGTTACACCAAAAAAAGCTGCGCTGGCTGGTTGCGACAACTTGACGATACCAAGAGAGCAGTGCTTGAGGAAAGTTGCATTCTGAGTTGTGACTACCTGCTCTGTGATACCCAAATGGATAACACTTTCATCGAAGAACCATACAGATCTGATAGACTTCTATGGCTCGTGCCAAACTTTCAAGCACTCAGTCGCATGGAGGACACCTGATGCACAATAAAAGCACATGTAAAATAGGCAATGACGGGACAGTCCTCCATGACGTGCCTGGGGACCGCCATTCTCATCTGTGTGTGCGGTACGCAGCTACGCCCACGCGCAAGGGCTACAGTTTATGTCCATTGTTAATGACCAATTCGGTGCGTAGGTAACCATTAGCCCTTTTCACAGTTGTACATAGCTTCAGTAAAGCAATTGGTAAACAATGGAACAAGGGGTCATCCATGTACTTGAACGCGGAGTCTCAACACGAAATGAAAAATAGTGCGTAGATGTGTACACGACGATTCGTTTCCAAGTTCCGGCGACACTGTTGCTCTAACGTAGTTTTACTATAGTTCAGGTTCCCATGGCAGATTTCAGCTACACCGAGTCGCTCCCATGACATTTCGCAAAACAGGCGAGCATAGAAGAGGACCAGATGATCCCATATGTTGTGCTGGAAACGGATAGGAAATACCTATCGAGCTCTTCCGAGTATTTCTGAGGGTATACGCGCGCAATTCAGCCTTTTTCTACAACACATCCTTCATTTTTGTAAACAAATGAGCTACACAGGATTACTGACACATACCTTCACCAATGGTATCGTCAATGTGCCTCGTTGGTACTGGTCGATAATAGTTTTATGTTGGGTGGAAGTGTCGTTGCTGCAAATTCCATGCAGACAGGGTTATTGCTAGTTAGACCTACATCACTCCAGTTGAAAGCAGTCTCCAGGAGATACTTTTAATGCATCTTTACTGACAGTGATATCCAGTAATGTCGCCAGGCTTGGTAACTGCGCTTTAGTAGTGAAAACTCCTAGTAACCTCATCCAGCACCGGACGCTAGCCATAAAGTCTTGGGAGAGAATTCACGGGGATTTTGATGGCAAAATGCAGGTGCAGTGTTTCGTACTTGTGGTTGATGCGTAACCCAAAAAGGCCAGTTGCGTACGTTATCATCACAATCGCGAGAGCGGCAAACGTAGGAAAATAAAAACCGTCAGTTGGACAGTTCGGTTTAGCGAACACGTTGTTTTTCGATAACGGGACAAAATTTATCTCTAATATGTAGATGGCATTAATCACTGCGGATCACCTCTGAAACATTCCAAGTTCAACCCGTACGTTCAAGGATTCGATTGTATTTAATGCGTTCACTACTGAAGCTGTGGACGAAGGACCTGCCGTGCCGATCATGCAGCTGTTTCTATTGAGATATTCGTCTCTGCATAACCCCGCTTCACCAGGCGACTAATCTCATGCAGAACTTATTTTCCAGCTTGAAATCCGTCTACTAATCCATGCACTTCATACGAAGGCTACGCAACCGCCACTAGCCTCAAGCTTGAACTCACTTTGACTTCCAGAATATTTATTGTACACATTGGATACAAGGCCCAGCCACCTAACCTGGCAACCTCGAGTGGTATGTTAAAGGAACCTCGCGTTGCCGCAAGAGGTGTTTATCCGGCCGCGCTTATGTTGGTCCATTAATCAGTTACGAAAACGACCGATCAAATCCACGATCACTTCCTCTACCGAGTTACTGTTTTGTTTATTGCTGATCACGTTCGAACCTCCAAACACCGTGAAGTTCAATGAATCAACGAAGTTGCGTAAAGAGCTGTACCATGGAGTCATTTGTAGATTCATGCGCACAGCTCAACTGGTCTCACCTTTGTAGGTGATCCGGGGACTGCATTCCTACAAACCGCGAGAACAGCGTGATTTCTATGAGAGTTGTTAAGTCTGTAGCGCCGGCATTTTAAAAGTACTACATCGTCGCGCTCTTTTGGTCATGAATTACTCTCTTACCCATAGCTTGTGCATGATGCCGACGATCAGGCCAGGTCCCTGCCTGGCACACTGTTTCGTTGCCTCATACTGTCCGCCTTCTCACCTGTGATATGTGAATTAAACTTTGCTCAATACATTGTCCAGGGCGGTAAAGTCTCTGTTTAGACGGCACTTCCTCCCATCTAGCTCGGTTATAACAGCCTATACCCGAACCATTGCAAATAGAGCTTGTTAAAGTCAAATTTGCTGTCAGCGCGATCACTGTGTACAACGTGACCTCTACTAATTGGGGAAGAGTCCCTCACTTTACCGTGAAAAGCATTATAATTACTAAGTACAGTTGAGCTGGAGTTACATTAGCTTGGTGCCGCACACCCACAAAATGCCCATATGCCTCCTCCACCGGCGAGCAATATGTGCTGTTGCTGCCTATCGGAGAGATATGTGTTCTACTACGGACGTTCTCCGAAGACAGAGTGGTCAGCCAACATGTTACTGGAAAGCTGTTGGACAGCACTTTTTTCCTGCCATTTCTTATTGGGAGAGCACATCCAACACATGCTAGTGGATCCGAAACTTGAGGCTAATTATCGGATCAATATGTTTAATCCACATGGCTATCAATATGGTGAGGCACCGCCTGCGCTCTTGGGTATGTCATGAATGAGTATGGGATAATTTTTAGCCTACAAATATGTATCGTCTAACGACAACGACTCTACCGGTCAAGAGCCTTTTGCAAGTTGGTCAAAGCATAATCTATGACCATCTAGATCGTCGTTTATACAAAATTGCAGACAGAGCATTCTTTTCAAACTTTGAAGATGAATACTGTGTGACAACAGAATTGGAATATTGTATTCATAAGTTGCCTCCTAGTCTTCTTCAGAGCCCAATGGGTAAGCGCAGCCGCCAATGAGGGCGCGTTTGGAGTCTGCATTTTGGATATCCAATCAGAAGTTCATACATTTGCTCGCGGTTCAGTAAGTGTTTCGAAAGATTCGATTGGATAGGCATGTGACTGCTCCAGTCCCTTCTTTCTCATAATTTCCCTATGTGAAAATCCAGTTGATGCCACTCCATCACTTTTAGGCAAACTTCAATTAATCCAAGCTCTGCTGGCTGCCTCCCATTACGTGTTTGTTGTCATATATATTTTTGGACCTCACTCACTGGCACATGATATAGATCTAACTACCATGTCGATAATCACTCATTTTCTCATGTATGTCTGCGTCTGTGAGGTCACACCACGTCCCCTACTTAGATACACTTTAGCTTAATCAACAGGACCAGCTATATCTTAATCGTCAAATTGAAACTCCCTTAATTGGCTCCGGGATTTGTTACATATTGGTTAACTGCTGCTTCCGTTTGCGATCAGGATACGGACGATTGCATTTTGAGAACAGAATTACCGTACATAGTATGTCTTGTGTATTGTTGAGGCTCGTTCCTAAAATGATGACCTAACCTTTCGTAAAATAGCAACGCAGACCATTTATGACTTGGAGGTCTAAATGTACTCGTGGTCCTACTGGGTGCTCGATATTCATTACCGATTGTTGGTCAAATTAACTTTCTTAGGTACGTTTTCTTATAATAATGCATGCCAAAGTCCCTACAAGTAGGCAAGGCCTGGTAGATACAAACATAGGTTTTAGTGAGAAGTCAATTATTCATTTGTATAACTTGACAGATCCCATTTTCGCGGTTTTCCATCCATCTGAACAACGAGCTGAGGAATTTGGTGCACTCAAATGTATGTTATCTATGTGCGGTAGCTGCGCAGTTGTCAGTCATGTAAAAGCGCGCACTATTTGGCTTTGGTTGTAGAGGGCTAGCGTACGTATTGCAGCGTTTCTCGTTTGAGGAAATTTCTTTAACAAAACAGCTTGCTAAATCTGCAGAAAATAAACGACATGTATATATCCTGGCGGTGATATTCATAGCAGCTTGGTCTTCTGTACAAGCGAGCGAGAAACTCTTACCTTAAGAGCAGTAACAGCGGGCACAAGTTGTTCTCCCTATCCTAATGGTCATGATCTTAAGTGAAAAGTTAATAGAATGCGCGTAGAAATATTGTCAATATTGTCAAATATAAAACAGCAAGTACTGGTATTTAAGTATCAAGCTTCTCCAGGGAAAACCTAAGGGAGCAAATGTTATCAGCCCAGTCAAAGTGGGTTATAACATCTGAACTTGTATATCATCCAGTTTAAATTTTCCTTTGCACTTTGCTTTTATTCACTTGGTTCCTTCTTATTTGCAATTAACTGCACTTGGAGCTAAATGAGATCTCCGATGGGATAATTACCAGGTGGAGTTTTTCTATTTCGTTTTACTCAAAAGTCCATCAAGCAGCATGTCAATGGTGTATTTTGCACGCTTGGCAAAATTTACGTTTTTGTATTCAGTTAATTCTGCCTAATTTTACTGTTTACTAGTGCTTCCTATGCACCAAGCAACCTCACAACGCCGAGTACAGAATATGAACGTTAACAACCATTCGGAATATGTTAATGGTCCGAAGTAAAGAGTACGTATGTCTATATTTCAAACAAGTACAATGGCTAAGCCTGACACAATTAACAAAGGATAAAAGTGGTGACGCTTCATACTCAGGTTTGATATCGTGATCGTCTCTTGTAATAAGAAGAACCAGACCACTTCCGATTCTTTGGTTGAAGAGGGCAGGCTCTTAAACAGTCATTTCTGTTTCTGTCAGCATTGTTTTGACAGATTGGGGTGGTTGAAACGAAGAGGTACATGCAGTTTCCAAGTTGTTGCTTATACTGAACGCTACATTTGGCCGTACAGGTCTCTTTGTTAAATAAGTGACTTGTGGCGATTAACACTTGTGCCAAGTAGGGTAGCTGAAATATGTACAAAGAACGAAAACAATTTCACACCAATTAAGAAGTGGAAATCATAGCTTATCATTGCGTAGACGTTAAAAGCGTAGTTTTCTATAACAAAACAAACCTAGTAGTAAACCGTTTCACATACCAAAATCATCAATACAAGACGGTGGTAGTCTGGCTGCTCACTGGTGTGGATGAACAAGCCAATTTATACAACAACCATAAATATAATCCAATACTACCATTGGTCTGGATTTCTTCCACCTATTGCAATTTGACTTCACCGTTGAAAATACGCAATCAGTTATAGCTGATTTGACAAATTCCTTAGAATGAGCCAGTTTTGCAGAACCTCTGGATTAACAAGTTCATTCTACTATGCTAATCATTGTACAATGCTAAATTTTCTCATTCCCATCTCCTGAAAACTGTACTGGAAATGAGTAGTGGTGTGTCGCACACTGAATTTTCTGATGTACGAAAGTTTTAATTATTTACTTTCCATAAGTGGTCGTGAAGTTTTGCCAAAAGCTATTTACCTTACTGCGTTACCTTCAAGAAATGGACGTCTGCAGATACTAAACGACGTAGAATTGCTGAATGTGCTAGTAAATTTAGCTGCTTTCTTGTCACTTCCCTACTTATAATAAACTGATGCGGTTATAAAATATTGACGAGAAATCAGTCGAAATATTTCCAAAGAAATGTCAAGATTACCAATTGAATTCTTTTAATGAACACCGCAGTTTGGTGCTGCTATATAAGTTAGGCATGATTACTAAGTTTTGCTCATCGTAACAAGGTTTTTTATCCATTGCCTAAGGACCATCTTCATAATTTTTGGATGTCAATCGTGTTTGTTCCATTTGCAGTCTATTGAAAATACCTGACGATCTGAACCGCTTCGTTAACTTATGGATCAAACATATTAGGCCCTGCTGAAACACGGTTACAATTTATATAAGCCTCCCGTGCGGTAAAGGCCAAGGGCTGGCATGCCTCCACTGTAATGAATCCACGAATAACCGCAATGGCGGGCTGAAATATATCTACGGTCCTCATTGTGGGGGCGACTGGTGAACACGCACCGAACCGCCGATGGTCTATGTCAGGAGTCGCCAAACTGCGGCCTGCGGGCCGGATCCAGCCCACTTCCTTAGTGTAAATATGCTGCTTCGCCGATCCAGTAACGCTTGTCGGTGTATTTTCTCACGTGTCGAGTAGCTTAACGAAATCCAGACTGCTTATTTCCCCGCTGATCCTAGCCGTGAGTCTCACACAATCGAGACGAGCGCGATCCCAGAGCTACACCGCTAGACTGAGAGGGAGAGAGAAGACAGTCCTTCGACAAGAGCCCTACTACTGACTCTGAAGAAAGGCGAACATGAATTTCACACCATGGCATTTATAACAAGGTGTTGCCAGGCTGACGAGAGTAAAATGGCATTTACAATGCGAATGTCAATTAATGGGAGTTGTCACCTAGCAACGGTGTTACCGAGGCACCACGGGTTGATTGCTGCATTTTAATTCTTGCCTGATAAAATAAAGTAATTGTCGTAACAGAAGTAGACAACGGTGACACCAAGGGGACATCAGTGTAATTATCATTTGTGTGAGTGTGGAACCGGTGTGTGTGGAACAGGTGGGACTGCGTCAGCCAGAGGGAAACGGCTGGGCGTGGAATTTGTGGAAACATGAGGGCTCCAAAGTACCTACGCTTCTATTCAAACGGTACTGTCTTTGGTGAGGGTTAACTTGTAGCACTTTGGGTCTTCTTTGGACATGTTCTACCCGGCGGCGAGGCCAGTTGGGGTTGACCATGGTTGGACAGCTTCAACAGGCGTCAGTTGTTAGATTGTGATTCCAGAGGTCTCCAGCAGGATGTTACCGGCAGATGTATATTCTTACTGGGTTAGGTAGATATCATTCCGTGTCGCGGCCGGAGCTAATTGCCGTGGCGTACCCATGTGGCACCATCCACAGCAAGGCTATAGACATATCGCCTTGCTAAACCGTCACTTTTAATTCCATCCAGCATGGATGAACACCTGGATCTACTCCGGCGTATGCAAGGGATCCAAAGACGAAGCTATTACCATTGGTGAAAACAGCGGGTTAGAGTGAGCGTTTTGTGTGTGATCCGCAGCTTCCCGCACCTCAATACTTCGGCAGGTGATTTACCTCCTGGAGGTGTTGCATTTTGGTGGTCCTTTAGGAAAACAGGAATGCCTGGAGACATTCATCCACGGTTCCCTCCTCACGAGCTTTCAAGAGAGCTGTCTTGAACTCGTCGATGAAAAAAACTCCACTTGACTTTTTGACTGAGCATGGTATGGCGGTGAGCTGAGGTGTGGGAAGCCGTGAGGACGACAGAAGTCTTCGAAAATGGAAGACGTAAACTGCGGACCATTGTCAGATACCAAGACGTCAGGAAGACCAGGTTGGCTGAATATCCGCTGTAGGCAACTCAGCGTTGCAGTTGTGGTCGCAGAGCTAATGGCCACTACTTCCGGTCATTTGGAGTAGTCATCGACCGTAACCAGATAAGAAACGCCGTCTATCGGACCAGCATAGTCTATGTTTACACGGGACCACTGTTTTTCTGCTGGTCGCCAAGTAACTGGAGGTTGGCGTGATGGCATCTTGGATGCCTGCTGACATCGTGAGCGACGGCTAACAAATTCTGCAATGTCACTGTTCATATCGGGCCAGGAAACGTTACCGTGGGTGATTGAATACATTCTGTTTGTACCAGTGTGAGCAGAATGGAACTGGCAGGGTATAGCTTTCCTAAGGCAGGTAGGAACAATGAATCGGTTAGTAGTCATAAGGCAAGAATCGACCATAGAAAGAGAGTCAGGGATCTGAGACACCTGCTTGAGTTCTCCAGAGGGACCATTGGTGGGCAAACCTGTCTGAACGTATTTGACAGTTTAGCGGAGGACCGGTTCTTGCATAGTTTCTTGACGTATGTAGGCGACAGTAACTAGGAGACTGCGCATGGCTCTCAAGAGCTGGTGACGAATATCCTCCTGGACGGCAACAGCTGCGACCATCGTGTCTTCTTCAGCGAACTGCTTGGGAATTAGCCGGAAGAGTCCGTCAGCTTGACCAGAATCCTGGGTGCAACAGAAGCGGTTTCCGAAATCGTAACCAACAAGAATGAAGTCCCATCGCTGAAGCAAGCTGGCTGAGCATGTTGGGATGTTCTGCTGAAAACCAAAGATTAGAAATGGCGGCTTTTGATCAGTCAACAAATTGAAATGTCGCCCATACAGCGTTTCGTCAAAATTCTTGAGGTCAGAGATGTTGATCAAGGCTTCTTTCTCTATGTGACAAATTCTGTTCTGTCTGAGTTAACGTGTGTTATATGTGCATGACTGAATTCTCCGAACCATCTAGAAAGCGGTGGAAGAAGACAGCTCCGATTCCATACTTGGATGCATCAACAGCGAACATAATTAGCAAGGCTAGGTCGTAGTGAGTCAGTAGCAAGTCAAAGCACAGCAGGGATTTCAGGCGGACGAAAGCTTTCTCGCATTTGGCGGACCAATGCCAAGGGCTGACTTTTTGTAATAACCTATTGTGCTGGGCCCTTGTGTTGTGTAAAGATTGCAGAAATGCAGTGTTGTGGCTGGTCAGGCCGAGCAAGGTTTGTAACTGCGGAACATTCGCCATTGCTGGCATCTGTTGAATAGCGTTGAAGGTTTCGAGATCAGGGTGCCGGTCATTGACATCAAAAACGAAACTTAGTTATTGATCCATCGAATGAAGAATTGGCATTTTTCTGATCTCAAGCGGAATGCGTACTCTTGGACCCGTGGACGGACCGTGATCAGGCGCTCTCCAAGCCTTTCTGGAGAGCGGATCGCAATGAGGAGTTTATTCAAGTAACCACCTTGTCTGGAATGCCGGGGATCATCGAACGGTAGCCTGGTTTACTGGAGAAGAGCGCGATGTGCATTGATCGTCAGCAGGAGCTGCGACTCAGGAGCTAACTCAAGATGTAGGTGGGCGTCTGCCAGGTCTTTCTTAGGGAAGCACGTGCTGCCGTTGAAAAATGTGAAGAGAGCTGCCGGGACATTCAATGTGTAGCAGTTCGGTTCAAACAAATTATTAAGACCAGTGGAGAAATCAGCAAGAATGCGGAGGGATCCATTAGGTTTCTTGATCACAACGACTGGGGCTGCCCAAACGCGATAAGACAGAGGTACCAGGACAGCAATATTCGGTCGCTTGATTTCTGCATCGACCAAAGATAGAGCTGCGCATGGAACAGTTCCTTTGGGACGGAATACCGTTTGAGCGCAGGGTGCAAGTTTTATCACAGCCCGCAGGCGTTTACAAAGTCCAAGTCTATCCTGGAAAAGTGATGTAAACTGTCTGGTGATGTCTTCAAGTTTGTCCGTTGATACCGATGAAACTCGTTCCGCGATGCAAATGGTCCGAAAGGACAGGTAGGCTCAGCCCATGTTATCGAGTCCATCGCGACCAACTAGGTTGAGCTTTACTTTGGTGATGTTGCAACTTCCCTTCAACTTGGTAGCTCAAAAGTAGACTGAGCCCTGTAACCGCCCGGTTAGCTGCAATTATTCACCACAGGAGCTGGTGGCGGTTTGGAAGGTCATCTGGCACGATGACTTGCCAGGTGATAACCAAACGTCGTCAGAGATTATCGTGATGTTCGAGGCAGTGTCGAACTGCAATCGGGTCGGCTGACCATTGATCTGAATGTTGAGAAAGTTTCTGCGGTTGGCAGCATTAACTTGGAATGTAGCCAGCAAACTCATAGAATTTTCAATTGGATTCGCTTTGCTATTGCGTCTGGAACAGAACCATGACTTTGAACCAGGAGTGGGGGCCAGACCGGGTTTGGCCCCCTTTGTTGGTGGAGGTCTGCAGTAGCAATACCAGACACGACTGTATCGGCAAGGAGAGGGTGGCGACTTCGTGTGGTTGAGTTGGGGAAGTCGAGTGAAATATTGCCGTTTCGGTGCTGCCACTGGTTGGACCAAACTGTGTGCGGAGGCGTTCTGGATAATCAATGAATCGTGTTTCAGGTTGGTCAGCACCTGAACCTCCTCGGCCAGCTTGTCGGGTGTGGGTGCGCTGTCCTGATGCCTTCTAGCTGTGAGAGGCGTTCGGATCTCGGGATCTTAAACGGACTAAAGGTC